TTTTTCTGGCACGGTAAACATTTCTAGCGGTTCCGAACCGCTAGAAATATTTCGTCAAATTTAAATTTTGCGCCAAAATTTCTAGCGGTTTAAAACCGCTAGAAACGTTTTCCCGCCATTCCTGAAATTCAATTGGCGGGAAAGTTTAATTTCCCAAACATTTCTAGCGGTTCTATAACCGCTAGTAATTTTCGCGCGCTACTGAAATTATTTAATTCCCGGCAAAATGGATTTCGTTTAGCAGGTTTCTAGCGGTTAGAAAACCGCTAGAAACTTTTTCCCGGAAAAAATTTCTAGCGGTTTTCTAACCGCTAGGAATGTGTCTCTTCAGATATTTTCTAGCGGTTCGGAACCGCTAGAAATTTTCTATCGTTTTGACCATGATGTGTAGCGGTTGCGATAACCGCTAGAAATTTTTTCTTGCACCTGTTTTTCTAGCGGTTTCCTTAACCGCTACAAATTTTATTTGTTGCGGTTAAAACCGCTAGAAATGTAACACTCTAACCGCTAGAATTAACATATTTTTTTGTAGTGAGTCAGCTATTATCATCACATAATTTCTCAATTCAAGCAATCAATATAATCACATTAAACAAGCAATATCAACAATCAAATTATAATTTAATGCTACCTCTTAATCCTTGATGCAATTCGGCCTTCTTAAGGGAATTATGCTCTCTTTGAATTTTCTCCACAAAACCTATCAATTCAAATGTAATTCCAAGTTACATTAACAATCATTCAACTTAAATACAACACTTAACCTTAAACTTTCTTAATTCCCCCTTTTCTTTGATTTTTAACATAATTATTTCCTCTGGGTTTCCAACAATCTCTTAGTCTATTCCTACATAATTTTTCATGTAGAATCACAAACATTTAATCAAATTTATAAGAATCACACTCCTTCCCTTTTATTTAAGCTTGGGCGAATTGGAGGTATTATGTTCCAAAAATTCCATTTTTGATTCCAATGATTTTAAATACTTCCCTTTAGTGTTTTCCTACCCAAAAGCACCTTTTAAACTCATTAAAATCATAAATCAAAATAAACTCCTACCCCAGGATAGCATAATGGCCGAATTGATGTGTCTTGAAGCCTAGGTTGATTTTCTTCCAAAAAACAATCCATACACCACTTAAACAAGCTTAGTCCACTTGACATGTAAGGTTTCTATCCTTCCCTAAAGGTCACATTTGCAAACCAAATTGGAAGCAATTTTTCTTAATTTTTCAAGCCAAAAGCCCTAACTAAACTAACTTAAAACTTATGGATAGGAAGACTTGAACATACCTTGATGCTTCCTTGGTAAAAACTGAATGATTCCTTGCCCAAATACCTCTCAAATTTTGGTCTCCTTGGTCTGAACACAAAGTGGCAGCACCTCCCCCTCTTTTTCTAATTTTCTAACATTTTTCTTGTATTTTAGAGAGGGGTATTTATAAACAAACCAACCTGCCATTTTCCCCTGATTTAGGACACCCAAAATTCCAAAAAATAAGGTGATTTGGAAGCCATCAAATGCAAGATAGCTTCATATTTAACCAAGTGTCCATATACTAGAATTTTCCAACAGTTATCCACCAATTTTGGATTTTTCTTTAATTAATTTGAAGCCTCCAGAATTCTCACGAAATTAGGCTTCATTCAAGGCCCAATTTAGGACCCACACATAGTTTAGGATGGCCCAAAAAGATGGCCCACAAACCAAATCAACATCCCAAACCATTCCGACACTTTATCGGTTACTATTCACGAGTAACATTTCATAATTTTTCCAGACCTCCAAAAATTCATTTATTTTCGTCATAATTCACCTTTTAATATAAAAACATGATCTAAAAATTTTCAAAATTTTTTGCCACCTCTAGGTATTTATTTTGAATTTTTCCCGATTAGGCCTTTATCGATATAATTGTGAGAAAATAAATTCTCTAAAATTAATTACGGGCCTTTAAAGGCCTAAAATAATTTTATAAATTCACATAAATATTTAGATAATTTTTCTATATTTTTTCTGAAATTATTGAGGCCTCTATCTATTTAAAATAAGGGAAAATTAATCTTTTGGTCCTTTAACTTTTAGCTCACTTATAACTTGGTCCCTTAACTATCACTCGCTTTAACTCAGTCCTTCAACTTTTAACTCGCTTATGACTCAGTCCTTTTTATTTTTAGTTTTTTAAAAAATGATCCTTATCATCCATCAGTCATCCCAACTCGTCCTACATGGAAGAAAACGCTGTTAACGCCGTTAATAATTACTGATGCGGCTGCCTAGTCATACACACTTGGAATTCACATGAAACTGGTTGAAAAAAATGTTTTCAACTAGGGTAGGGCTTGCGAAGAAAAGAGAAGTAACCCCCATAAAGATGAGAAAAAAACGCACAAGTAAGGAGGGCTAGTGGCACGAAGAAGACGACCAGACCGGAAAAGAACAAGAAGACTAGAATAGACTAAATCGTGAAGAAGACAAAGAAACACTGTAGAGGTGACAAAGAAGATCAGATAAAAGAGTAACTTTTTACAGTTGCAGAGGGATATCGGTAAGGGAGAAAGGTGCAATTTGTAACAATACATCCATGCGCTCCATGTGCGTTAGTGGTCCCACTGTGTATTTGAATAATGTGTTCTATATTTATCTTGTTTCTCAATTATGGCTGTTTTCAGTGGTCCCCATGCTCGTAGATGTCTGATCTGAATTCATGATAATATTTGATTAAATGAAATAAACAATATACTATGTTTCTGGAGATCATAGTGCTTGATTCATTGATTGAACGTACAACTGTGCAAAAATATTAAAATATTCAAATAACAACATTACATTGAACTGCATATCCATCAAAAATCCTAAACATATTTGGTTTTGCCTTCATAGTCATTGTCAGCATCATTATTAAGTTTTCATCAAACTATGTAAATGATACATGTTGAGTTTTTATTTCCAGGAAAATCTTTTTTTTTTTTAATGCAAAGTGACAGAGATTGGGAAGATCCATAAAGAATGTTAAAACATGCCTATGCTTGATTCTCTCTTTTTGTATTTTAAAGCTAATTAACCATGATTATTAATTGCTGTTTTTTTTTCAGTGTGATATATATATATATATATATGGATGCGTCAAATAGCTTGGGTAAGTGAGTACTTCCAATTAATATTAATATTACAATATAATTTGCGTGGTTTATGTGATGTCTAACCATATGATAAAACTTAGGGGGTGATAGAGGGAGTAGTGATGAAGACAATGAGTTTACTGTTGAGGAAGATGATGATACTTTTTGTGAAGAAGATAACATGTCATTAGATAATGTGGATGCCTTAATATTGACTGATGATGAAGATGCAGGCTCTTTATCATCTAATCGCAAAACTGATTCATTAAAAGCTATAGATGAATCTGATTTGGATTTGGAAGAGGGTGTTATGACAAGTGGGTGCAAAAAGTATAATCTAGATGAGATGTGCAAAGACTATATCTTTGAACTTGGAATGGAGTTCACCTCAATTACTCAATTTAGGGAAGCTGTTTGAGAGTATTCACTTTTGAATGGGTATGAAACAATATACATTAAAAATGATAGTGTAAGGTGCCGTATAAAGTGTGTATGTTGTGATTGGTTAATATTTGTGAGTAAGGAGAGGGATTCCATGACATATCGTTTGAAGACTTATAATCCAAGACACACTTGTGGTGTGACTTTTAGTTCTAAGAATGTTTCATCTAAATGGGTGTCAGAAAAGATTAAAAATAGAATAAAGACAAATAAGAATATGAGTCTTGGAGATGTGATATCCACAATTAAAGAAGATTATATGGCAGATGTGTCAGTGCCTAAGGCTTATTAGGCACGAAGAAAGGCGTATAAAGTGTGTATGTTGTGATTGGTTAATATTTGTGAGTAAGGAGAGGGATTCCATGACATATCGTTTGAAGACTTATAATCCAAGACACACTTGTGGTGTGACTTTTAGTTCTAAGAATGTTTCATCTAAATGGGTGTCAGAAAAGATTAAAAATAGAATAAAGACAAATAAGAATATGAGTCTTGGAGATGTGATATCCACAATTAAAGAAGATTATATGGCAGATGTGTCGGTGCCTAAGGCTTATTAGGCACGAAGAAAGGCAAAACAAGTTATTGAAGGTGATTTTGTAGATGAGTATAAGAGACTATGGGATTACAACAATGAGGTCCTCTCAAAAAGTCTTGAAACTACATTCAAAATTTTGACAGATCATCCCTTTATTGATAGAGCACCAAGATTCAAAAGATTATGTCTTTGTTTGGATGCTATCAAGATAGGATTTTTAGCAGCATGTAGACCAATCATTGGCTTAGATGGATGCTTTTTGAAGGGACCTTATGGTGGAATATTGCTGGTAGCAGTAGGACGTGATCCAAATGAGCAGTATTTTTCTTTAGCAATAGCTATTGTTGAAGGTGAAAATCGAGATTCATGGTCATGGTTTCTTGAGCATATTCTAAATGGCATAGGAAGAACACAAAGATGGGTCTTTATTTCTGACCAACAGAAGGTAATTGATAGGCATTTATATTTCTTTTATCCATATGCATTTATGTCTTTTGTGGTTTTACAATATATTTTTTGTTGTTGTAGGGATTAATGCCAACATTTGAGTCACTTCTTCCTGAAGTTGAGCATCGCTTATGTGTTAGGCATTTATATGCCAACATTAAGAGTAGATATAGTGGTGGGTCTGTGATTAGAGATTTGGTGTTGCAAGCTGCGAAAGCAACATATGTCAATGGATGGAAGCAAAAAATGCATGAGTTGAAAAATAAATCTAAAGAGGCTCATGATCATTTGATGAAGTTCCCTCCATAATGTTGGACGAAATCTCATTTCAATGAATATCCAAAGAGTGACATGATTATGAATAACATATCTGAATCATTTAATGGGAGGCTTTTAGAGGCTCAAGAACTTCCAATCATTAGTTTATTAGAATGGATTCGCACTTACATCATGACAAGATTTCAAGAGAATAGAAAGAAGGCAGAGAAATTTAGAAGTCATGGAAGCGTATGTCCGAATCCAAGACGGAGGTTGGACAAAGAAGTTAGTCAATCACGAAAGTGGGTTGCACGACAAGCAAGAGAATTTGAATTTGAGGCCTCGTGTTACTCGCACAAATTTTCAGTTGACCTTGCTAGTAAGAGTTGTACTTGTAGATGGTGGGATTTAACTGGAATACCTTGCAGGTTTGTTACAAATTTTAGAGTTATGGTTGAATATTTGAATTGTAGGCATGTAATTATTAACACATTATTAATTCTTAATTGCAGGCATGCAGTTAGTTCAATTTATGCAAAAAGAAAAGACCCTCATGATTATATTCATCCCTACTTGAAGATAGATGCTTATGTTGAGTGTTACTCTCCCGTGGTGAAGCCAATTAATGGACAAGAAATGTGGGAAGTAACAAATAAGGAGGAGATGGACCCTCCGTCCTATCATAGAAGACCAGGAAGACCTCCAAAATTAAGAAAAAGAGCACCTGATGAGCCTTTCCAACCTAATAAGATTCGAAGGACATCCTCAAGACTTCGTTGTTCTTACTGTAAAAACTATGGGCATAATAGAAGAACATGCAGTGCCAGTAGAAGTTCACAACAAGAGTCTACCAGTACAACACCTCCATCACAACCCTAATAATAGAAGATCCTTTATATGCATATGTGGTCTAGGCCTTTTTGGAACCTTGTTGGATTTATTTGGAACTTCTTTTGATGTTTTTGGAAATATTGTGGATATGTTTGTAAAGTCTTAGATGTATTTGGAATTACTTTTTTGGATAAAACATTAAGTATAACATTATGATCCATTTTGTATCTTTATAACAGATGAAATATAGAAGTAAGATAATTTGAAGAATGCAACTGATGGTGCTAATAATTAATTAGTTATCAGTATTTGATATGGAGAAGATCAGGTTCACCTCGGTAAAATGACAAGAAAATTCTTGTGCGGCTTTCATATGATATATGAGAAAATAATTTTTCAAAAACTAGAATGATATTTAGGATTTAATAAGGCAATGACCAATATCCTATAGCATTCTTGCGTGGCTTTCATCTACTATGATTGTATTTACAATTTTTTGGTTTCTTTTATGAATATATCTTTTATGTTTTTATTCTTATAATTCATTCATTATTCACATAAGAATGTCTAAATATCAGCTATGTTGTCAATGAAAATCCAAAAAGACACACAAGTATGGGGATTCAAATGGGTGCATTAAATCATACTCATTAAACACATTGTCATTGATTATATTTCACTTTGCCCAGCTATGCATTACAATATCAAAATCTACAAAACTCTTGCCCATAGAGGCATTCTTACACACCTTATAATACAAAGCTACATGTACTATTACATAAATAGTATACTCATAAATAGTCCTAGTTCACAATATAATGCATCTCCAAATGGGGCTGCTTGATCCTCAACTTTTGTCTCTTTGCTACAATGGGTTATGGCAAATTAGAGAATTGGGTATCTCTAAAAAAAACCAGTTATAGTTACGGGCTTTATAGGCACCCCTCCCTCCTTTTGTTGCAATAAACAGTATGCTCTTTTCTTCATCTTATATCATCTCAAACCTTGTATCAGGCAAAGATTCAAAAATAAATCACAAGACCAATTCAGCTACAAATGTTTAAAAAAAAAAGATTCAGTCATTTAGTCGAATAAATCAGAACATAATGCTATGTAATTTTCAAACACACAAGTGCTTAAGACAACAAACCAGAACCTTCCTTACAATTTCCTACCATTACTAAAGTGAAGAAAAAATAGAAGCATATTATCATATCTGTGTATTTTTACATCCTCTTCTTACATCACATCAAAATTAAAAGTCTTGATAATCCCGTAGCAAGACCATGAAAGCCAAGGACTACCAAAAGTAAGAGGGGGAAGCAGAAGTTTTACCAAACCTCATCAATAAGCTGACAAAAGTAAAGGGAAACCCAAAATGAATAAAATAAAACAATATTACAGTGAAATATGTGCAGAACTCCAAATGCCAATAATTACAAAGGAGTGAGTGATCATTGACCATAGAGATGACCAAAAAAAAAGCGAGTGAGATGAGAGAACAACTAGGAAGCAACCAACAATAAACATCACTAAAGAAAAAAGACTTGATAGAAGCTTCCATGAACACACACCGGAGAAGAGAAGAAGAGAAGAAAAATTAACTACCCAGAGAACAAAGGACGAAGATGATGAAGTAACAAGTGACGACCTTCAAAGACGCAGACTGTGATGGAGAAGAAGCAAATAAGCTCGATTTTCTCTGGCCGACGATGTTATTTCTTCTCATCTTTTGTCACTCAAAACTCTCTGGGCCCTAAATCAACTTTTCTTTTTTGTTTTTTTAACCTTTTGCTGATGCATGATATCAGGGGAAGCTGACTCATATTTTTTTTCTTGCCAGCTAGGATACCTCAGTCATGACAGAAGATGAGTCATGGACGACAAAGGACAAAGAAATTAACGGTTCAAAAGTTAAAGGACTGATTTATAAGTGAGTTAAAAGTTAAGGGACTGAATTAAAGCGAGTCATAGTTAAGGGACTGAGTTATAAGTGAGTTAAAAGTTAAAGGATTAAAAGATTAATTTTTCCAAAATTCCAAAAAATAAGGTGATTTGGAAGCCATCAAATGCAAGATAGCTTCAGATTTAACCAAGTGTCCATATACTAGAATTTTCCAACAGTTATCCACCAATTTTGGATTTTTCTTTAATTAATTTGAAGCCTCTAGAATTCTCACGAAATTAGGCTTCATTCCAGGCCCAATTTAGGACCCACACATAGTTTAGGATGGCCCAAAAAGATGGCCCACAAACCAAATCAACATCCCAAACTATTCCGACACTTTATCGGTTACTATTCACGAGTAACATTTCATAATTTTTCCAGACCTCTAAAAATTCATTTATTTTCGTCATAATTCACCTTTTAATATAAAAACATGTAAAAATTTTCAAAATTTTTTGCCACCTCTAGGTATTTATTTCGAATTTTTCCCGATTAGGCCTTTATCGATATAATTGTGAGAAAATAAATTCTCTAAAATTAATTAGGGCCTTTAAAGGCCTAAAAATAATTTTATAAATTCACATAAATATTTAGATAATTTTTCTATATTTTTCCTGAAATTATTGAGGCCTCTATCTATTTAAAATAATTATTTTTTTGATTTTTTTACTGTTTTCCTGAAAAACCTCTATATTTGGGAAATTCCATAAAAATTCTTTTTTTCATTATTTTTACCTTTAGGGCCTCCATCAAGGTTTCAAAACCTCTAATTCACTAATTTTTCATTTTTATGAAATTTTCTAGAATTTTTCTTAAAATTTTCCGTTTTTCCCTTCCTACGTCGATAATTACAAAAATACTAGCCTGGACTTTATTGGGATTTCTCATCAAAAGTTATTTTATCTCCCTACCTAGTTTTCACATTGGCCCTTATTCTAATTTTTAACTTTCTATATCCAGGTGAAATTTCTCGGGATGTAACAGGAAGTACATGAATTAATTTTAGAGAATTTATTTCCAAAAGTCTTACCAATAAAACCTATTCAGAAAAAATTCAAAATAAATAGTTATAGGTGGAAAATTTTTTTAGAAATTTTGAGATTTCATTCTAATATTAAAATAACATTTTTCATGGAAAGAAATGTGATTTTGAAGGCCTAGAAAATTTATGAAAAGTTACAAGTGAATAGTAAATGATAAACTTCGATATTGTTTGGAATTGATATCTAAATGGTAGGCCATATTTTTGGACCATTCCAGATTAAAAGTGGGCACCACATTGAGTCAAGAAAGGCTCAAAAATTTGTGCAAACCTGGCCCAATTATTTAAGTCCAATTTGACATAAAAATCAATAGATATTCTTGGAATTTTGCACATGGCATGATCTAAAAAATTGGAGGGTTTGATGGTAGCCACATGGCCACTTTTGCTTGCCAAATTTTGGCCATTTTACACATAATTCGGCTAAATTAGGAAAATGAAGGGAAAATTCTGCCAAAATCAAAACATGTCACATCTCTCTTCATAATCCATTATATATCAATTGAAACCAATATAAGTCATTTCGTAACATTTTCGGATGAAAAATTTTGAATTTCAAGATTTCACTGTTTATCCTGTTCGTATGCTATTCATCCGAAAATATGCCAACTTTGAAAATTCATAACTAAATCTAGAAAAATCAAAACGGAGTGGTTCTAATTTTCACACGAAGCTTGCTAAGAGTTCTAGGGGGAAAAAATGATTAGGTCCAATTCAATCCAGAATAATGTCAGGAAATTCGTCAAAGTGTACTGTTCATTTGGTAAAATTTTAAATTTCCAGTACTTTTGCCCAACTTTGGAAGGGCATAACTCTTAGCACACAACTCCGAATTTGATGAATTATCACTTGTTTTAAATATAAAAATGAGATCTATTAGCCTAACAAATTTCGAGTCCAAACTCTAATAATTGCTTATTATTTTATGTGCCACAAGTTTAACACTTTTTAGGGAATTTCTATCCCCTAATTATCATTTTCTTTGATTTATTTCCCCTTTTACCTTTTTCTACTTTCCTTCCATAATGTACCATGCATAATTCCAACATTAGGGCATGAGAATAAAGTATAATACACATCATAACATCATCCATAACTAGATACAACCATTACATAAAGTTCAACGATACCTTACACAACACAACATAACAACATTAATTACACATTGCTCCACTATCCCAATACCAATTCCTTGCCTTGATCCATGCTTGGTCCACTTCCTAATTAGTGCATAAGATGACATAGGAGGAATGAGATTTCAAAGAAATCTCAGTAGCATATGAATTATAATTATCATGTAAATCATTGCAAGTTAAATTGTGATATGTCATGCAATCCAATTCATTCCCAACTCATAGGAATTCATGCCAAATATCATGCAAGGAGAGGAACATTATATCATCCACATTGACATACCATAAAGCATTTGGCCAAAGCATAACCAATGTCCATCAACAATCAACGTCACCACAAAATTCCTCCAAATCCAAGCAACAACAAATCACAACAAACAAGCAAGATAAACAATCAATTTATAATTCAAAGCTACCTTTGCAAAGCTTGTCCAATTAATTTCTCCAAGGAGAAATGCTTCTTCTTAATTCCTCCTCTCAATGCCTATTAAACCAAGCATAAACATAGACCATATTAATCACAAGACAACTTAGTTCCAACACTTTAACATTACTTAATGTAATATCTTAAAGTTTATTTTAGGTTTAAAAAAAATTCAAAAATAATAATAAATAAATATAAATAAAATAATAATATTTTAATTTAAATTTAAAAAAAGGAGTTAAAGTCAACTTTCCACCGAATTTGGGTGGAAAGTTGAACGTGAAAGTTGAAACTTGAGGGGTGAAGGTTGAAAGATGAGAGTTGGAGTTGGGAGTTGGGAGTTGGGAGATAATTATGAGGGGACCTAATACATGTGTGGGAGTGTTATTTTAACACTCCCCACAACCCAATTCCCCGGCGCAAGAAAGAAAGAGGAAGAGAGATTAGAGTGTGCGTGAGAAAGAGGAGCATATCGGTGAAGCAGAGGGCAAGCTTTGAAGA